ACTGTGTTGTCATTTCAGCCATAACACTGCAAGGTTGGACACTTGTTTTGGGGGACGCAAAAAAAAAAAATCCATGTGTTCCTAGTTTTTGGAAGACAAACACGAGTCAGGTGACGTTTACTCAACTAAACGGTGCGGCCAAGATGGAGAGGTCACAGGTCAGCTCTGGTGGAATCCAGCTTCAGATCCGGTACGGTTAGATTCAGAAAGCGATGATTTACTGTAATGCACTTCTCTGGCCGCATCCCATTCATACAGGTGAAGGCAAACCTGTCTGCCAGATTCACGTGACCAACACACCACCTCTTTCTTTTCTTTTTTTTTTGTGTTCCCCTTTAATTCCAGTGTTGATTGAACTCTTGACTATAGACCACAAAATCCTCACCGTGTTTTTGTTTATTTTTGAAATAACCAGGAGTCAAGCACCAACAAATCCACCATCAAAAGACCAAAGTCTCCCGGGTGCAGCCAAGTTTTCAAGAGAGGCGACCTGCGTTCCCTGGTGCTCGGTATCAAACATGCAAAGCTTATTCTGTTAACAGTGTAAACAAATTCCTCCACATGTCTTCCATTGCTCAGCGGTGAAGGTTAATTATGATTTGGGTTAAAGGCAGTGGTAAAGGGGTTTGGAACCAGCAGTGCCAAGTTTCCAGTAGTGTCTTTCTGATCTCTCCCCCTCTTCCATCACACGTCAGTCCAAAAGGACTGAATTGCCCCTCGAAAAATACAAATTCCAGCTCCACATTATTTGCAATCCAAGCCTGTGCACATTGTTTGAGCTGCTCAGTTCAGGTACAACTCCCTCCCTGTCCCCTGCTGCCAGACATTTGCTTCAGGACACAGTAGTAGCAGCAGCAGTAGTTATGGGAGGGGGCTCTCATTTCCCCAGCTGGTGCAGCGATTCAGACCTGCGCCTCTGAAATAATAAGCCGTCTTCTTTAACCTCGAGGGACCGGTCCCTGCGTGTCCCAGGTTGAGGAGGAGGAGGAGGAGGAGGAGAGGTGGTTTAACAGCCCAGCTGGACAAAGGCAGGAAGGGAGTGAGTCTGAATGAATATTTGCTAACGTTGCGTAATGCTCCACGTTCCCATGGCCGTGGCCTTCGAAGAACAGAGCAACCCCAGGCGTAGCAACGGCAACACCGCGGCCAATCGGCTCCCCGGCCAGTGTGCCAAAAAATCCTCCGCACCGGTATTGGGACCAGCGCGAAGTGGAAAGTGGGAGCCGCCGGTTATGGAGCAGGGAGAGGCAGATAACAATGGGTACATTTATCCTCATCACCACCACATTGCATCAAACTTTCCCCTCTATTTAGCAGGAAGTGAAGCCGCAGGGGCACGTGGGTTATGTAGGCAGCAGAGGAAGAGAGAAAGTTCAGCCCCCTGTTTAACTTGATCTTGTTCTTTCGCTCTCACTGTCTTTTTGTCACTCACTCTCTGTTGGCTCATGCTGCTTTCCTTCATTTCACTCTGTGGTGTGTTTGACAGCAGAAGAATTGGAGGGTGATTCAGGTCCTCTGTCTGTCTGACACCAAGTTTCCATGGCTCTGCCCCCGTGTTGCTGCCAGGAGCAGCAGCGTTTAGCCTCAGATCCCTAATGTTCCTGGGTTGCACAGGCACAGCTAGCTCCTTCCTCACACATAGAGCTACTCAGGTCGGGATTCCCCTTTTGTATCTCAGAGAGGGAAGTGGCGCTAGATTTTGACTGAATGGGAAGTTCGAGTCGTCTACTCAAGCAGCCACTTTTTTAGAAAAATGACCAAACTGGTGAAGTGACTTCTACCTGCTACAGCCAGAGACAAAGCTAATTTCTATGCATTTGTTAGGAAAAACAATACCACGCTAATAATTTGGCATGCAAAGCACACGCACAGCCGGCTGAGCACCTGCACAGCAGTTGAAAACACTCTGGGCAGGAACAGAGCTGGCAGGTATGGCCCGGTGCTGTTTGGTAAGAATGCTTCTTGCAACGGCGTTCATACTCGTCTCGAAAGACAAAAAGCAACTGAAGGCATGAATGCCATAAACTGACACAGTGTCATGCTGCTTCAGACATTTCCTGTAGAAGAAAGGAATTGAAACCGTTTTCTGCTGTGCTGAACACATCTGCTGAAGTTCTGCATAATGGTTACGTGATAGTTGGGGTCATCAGATGGTGACGGCCAACACAGTGATACACTTTAAACCACAGGGAGGCTGCTTGTTTACGTGGGAGGCTTGAACCAGGTCTTGCAGTTGAAGCACATTATTTATTATCAGCAAGTCCCCCTCTCTGCTGTAGTGTCCTCGAGCAAGCATTGCTTTGCAAATAAAGGAGTGCTGTTCCAGCCTTGACCTCTGACCTCCCTGTGGAAGGTAGGCACAATAGAAGATGATATCCTCACCGGGAGCAACACAGGGGGGCAAAGACGTCCTGAGTCCCACCTTTAACTTAAGTATTTTCTTTAAAAAAAAACAAATTGCCGTGATCCTAATTATGTTAATTCAATATTTTGTGACCCTTTTTTATTTTGGTGATAAAGTAAAGTGCTGTAGTCGGTGTAATAAATTGCAGCAATTGGTGTTTATGGCCATAAAACAATTTTTAAATAAGAAAAAACACTCACCACCAGTGTTAATATATTTATTTTTTTAAATATACAACCAGTTCTGACACAAACTGGATGCCCAGGACACGCTGGCCATGTTCGGACAGCCATCATTAGGACTCATAGGCCAGACGGATGAATGGAGACTTACCAGCCTCGTGAATTTCCAGTGCGGTTCATGTTGTTATTTTCCAACTCTTCACGGCAAGGCTTCTGTTAGAAGGCTGTAAGACTGACTCAGCTATGAAAACAAGCACAATATGTCGTGCTTTACACGGGGAACGTGCGAGGTATCTGTTTTTAAAGTGGTCACAAAGAGATCAGGTGTTTACTCTGCACTCGCGCATCCCTTGCATTTGTCGGGCGAGTGAAAACCTTGTTGAAATAGCCTCAAGTATATGCTGACCTGTACAGGCGATTAGTATAAATACCCGAGTGGACGGAGCATTAGGACCACTCTGTATGCTGAGTGTTGCGTCATGACAGCCCAGGGTCAGCATGGGAGGTCCTTTTAGTCGTGTGTGTGTTTGAGAGGAAGGGAAAGAAACTGATTCCCTGGACAAGTCCTGTTCAATTGATTAGCTTACTGCTCACTCAAAGGTCCTTTTTCAGAGCTGGTGTTTGCCGGCCCGCTCAAACTGTTTGAACTTGACGTTCCACAGGAAATGATTCTGCCAAAATAACTATTTACCTCGTGTGCTCCATCCGTGACATTGTGTTTAACAATGTTGAAAAATGATCGAGGGACAACTGTAGAAACGTGTTGTTGTGAGGCTTTGGTGCTTTGGTTGTAACGCTGTGTGTCATCTGATCCACAGAAAAGGATTTAAACACGAAATGTATCGTGGAGATGGAGAAGAACCAGACGATCCTCCATCCTGGAGGAGCTAACCTGGGCAAAGGAGACTCCAGGTACGCTCGTCACAAGTTTGACCTCAGTCTGTGTCCACGACAATGACTTATTCTCTACACACAACTACACAAGTCAGTGCCTATAAATATATATATACATCTTTTTTACGAGGGGGATTCTGTATTGCAATATACATCTTACACAGCACTGAATATGAGAAGTGGTACTGGGAGGCGAGAGGCGAAATGGACAGGTGCCTGCAGGTGTTCTGAAAACAATGGGAAGTTAACACTTATCGTCCAGTTGCTTCAATTTGCATACATTTGTATTCCCTCTCAGTCATACTTCAGTCAAATCTGAAAACACAGACGGGATACACATACTTTGCACATCCTGTATGACTTGTGTGTCAATACAGCAAGTACTCAGTCATAGAACTCTGTATCTTCTTATGAGCCATGAGCCCCTTTCCATTGCCCTCACACAGACACGAGGTAGATTCACAGCTGTGCTTTATTTCTTTAATCCTTACTCTCAGCGATATGCTTCGCCTTGGAAATGTTCTTTCTTTTTCCCGATTGCTACTTTCAAAAAGCTGTTCTCAGACTTGTTTGGAATGTTCCTTTGTCGTCATGATGTAGCTTTTGGCAGGAAGCTGACTAACCAGCTGTTGGGCCTCCTCGAGGCAGGTGTATCTCAACTCAAATCGCTCGTTCCCTCGCTTGGCTTTTACTCCGTCTCCATCCTGTTGACCAGCTGCTGTTTGGTGGGTAATGCTGAAATGTGCTCGGAGTCTTGAGTGTCTCTGGATCCGGGCGCACCGTGCCGAACACAAATGTGCAACTGCGTGTACTCTGTGTCTGAGAGAGGGATGACTAACTGAGAAGTGACCCCCCCCCCCCCCCATCTGTAATGAAACAGCTGTAATAAATACACATGTTTCAACAGCATGGAGGCGGACGGAGACAACTCTACATGAGAAGACCGACTCCAGTCCTCTCTTCGCTCACTCTGCCGGGTTGTAACTCCCAACGCCCGGCTTCCTCCCTTTTTTCTCAGCTCTTCCGTTTCCGTGGCAACACAGGGGGAGGTTAACTCCGGGTCGCCGGCGGTGACCGTGAAGCCCCTTCCTTGAGTGTGGAGACGATGGAAGAGGGGGGGGCAAACAAAACAAAAAAGAAACCTCATTTACTCGAGCATCTGTCGACCATAAACTTTCCCCGCTGACTTTTATGGAGGACTAAACAAGAGCAGTGCTGTAGTTTCTCTCTCCGTCTCTCTCGCTGACAAAAGAGCGAGGAAGCGGCAGCAGGAGGAGGACGGACTGACTGATGGCTGCCCTCAGCGTGCAGATGCTATGTTTGTTTTGTTTGTTTTCTATTTCCATACTGGGTAAATTTGAGGATTATCTTTTACTCAGCATTTTACTTAATTGTTAATAGTTGAGAAAGACGTGAGTGGGTGCATCGAGGAAGCAGGCAGTAAAGTTAGGATGCTGCAAGTGTGTTACCAGGATGCTTTGTTTAAAAGTGAGCAGACATATATCTGCAGCAGATAAGAAAGTGCCGCTCCCTGACTGAATCCAAAGGGTGTTTATTCTTTCACAGCTCACCTTTAAAACTACTGACGTTGCAGCAGAAGATACGTATGTTATTACATCGATTGGATATGAAAGAGAGGTGTTCTGTTGCTTTGTAATATGAACGGTGTAGTTCTACTGTTGATAAAAGGTAAAATCAGCTATTCTTAGACCACATTGCCCGCCTTGTGTTTGATCAAATGTTGCGTCACACACCGGGTTTGTGAGGAGCCTTCCTAGACGAGCGACCGGAGTGGACACTGCGGACATATTGATTTCAGCGACAGTTAAAATAGTTGTTTTTTCGAAAATGTGATTAACAATTTCAAATGGCTGTTATGATATACTCAATATTTACGTTTAACCTTAAAATGATGCTCAATTTGTACTGTTTTCTGAGTGTTTTCCTACTTTTAGACTAGTCTTAGTTTAAACCTCTTAAATATCAGGGAAGTTACTCATTAGGAACAATATTTGCAGCCAAGATCATTTTCCTGCGTTGCGAAATCCTGTGCAGTGTTTTGAGAGCCCGTTAGCCAAACTGGACTTTCTGTCTCCCCAGTACCTGAAGCACCACCCTTATATTGTTTTCACACCCACTAGGTCTGTTGTAATGCAACGCAACCTCACTGTTAATCATCATTTACCCTATACACACACAGTATATCCACCATCTTCAGACGCAGACTCCTGGTCTCTACAGTGTTTTCAAGAAATGTCTGCAGCGGTGTTTTTGTGGGGGTTGTTGGCTGTTTGAATATAGATGAAAGATTTTCTCTTTCTCTCAGGCTCTCGGAAACACTTTTCCATCCATGTAATTGGTAAAAACCCATTGGGGTGGATCTGATATGCTTTAAATGGTTGGCGACTGCTGGGAAGTAGAACATTCATTTTGTAGTTGTGAATGTCTTTTGCTGTGGAGCTTACAGCCGGTTAGTAAGAGGAAAGAATTCCCTACAGCTAAAACAATTAAAGTTTTGGACATATAGGGCCCATTTATTGCAAGTTGAAGCTCCAATCTTTCCCTCTTCTTTGTGATCTGCTTACAAGGTTGGGAAATAACCCAAAGAGGGTAAAACGATGGTTAATTGCCTGTTGAAGACTAATTAAACCGACATAACTTAATATTGAGCAGTGTTTGCTTGGTGGACTATGGTCATTTCCCGGAGTCAGCGGATGTAAAATGTAGGGGAAGACGTGCATTATTGAGGTGTACTCGCTATCCTGTTCTGTATATCGAGTGGACATCAGGTCCCACCTAGCTTCACATTCTCTTACTATACGTCCACTCGGGCACGGGGGAGAAAAGACCACCCGTCATAGGAAGTAGAGCCGTGTACAGGAGTGGTTAAACACTGAACCTTGAACAACCCTGACGCACAATAGACCCTGTCCACCCAGTGTGTAGACCGAGTCAGTGCCGCTCTCGCTCCCCCCCCCGCCCCCCAAATGCTGTTACATTAGAATGAGGCCCGAGCTGCGAGACAAGAATGAATCGGTGAATTGTAATAATTCATTCGTCAGAATTATATTATTAGATTGTTAATGAGTTCTGTTACACACCTACCTGATGTATTAAAGATGAGCCACAAAAGATAAGAGTTTGATGCCATAAAATGTTCTAGAAACTAAACTAAGTTTCATTCTGTGGTTTACCTGATCAAAGCATCCACAGACTTCTCTTTGAATTCTTCCTTATTTGAAGGTTTTTAAATCTTTTTTTTCCTCCTCTCCTCAGGGGTGTGTGTGTGTGAGTGTGTGTGTGTGTGAGTGAGTTTTTCCACCAGCAGTGCGAGCTGGGCAGCGAGACTTCAGTTCCTCACGCTGCCACTCTGTGACTCACTGCGGCGATGATGGTGGCATAAATCTTTTTTTAAGCACTGCTTATAGAGGATCATCAAGGCTGTGATGTACAAGCTCGGCGAGTTTTTTTTTCTTTTTGTCTCTCTTTGTACTGGGAATCTTACTCTACATAGTCCGCACATTTTATTTTGTCTGCCCTTCTGCTGTTGCACCTGCTCTGCCTGAATCACTTTGCAACCACCCGGGATGTCCTGACCTCCACAGCGCTTTCTCTCCAGTCCGTCTTATAAGCAGACAGCTCGGCTCCCACGCAGGCCGTGTTGTCAAACACCGCCGTTTGCATGATGACCCGAGGCTGTTTGCATCGGGTCGGTGAAGCCGGATGTTGACGCACTCCGACAGCGATCTGTCTCCCGTCAGACGTCGGTGATGCAAAGGAGATGTTGGACATTTTGTGCGTGTCTGTTTGCTAGCATGTGATTTTAGGACGTGGAGGATCTACAGTATATTTGATCCCGTAGGAACAGAGACGTGATATTTTGATGCAAGGCCAAGTGCTTTAACAGTCCAGCCTGTAACCAACCATGTGGTGGTTGCAGTTGCTAACGGCCCACTGACATAATGACAGAGTTAGGAATTTAGGAAAGAGAGTCTCATTTGTTCACAGGCCACGCTGGCTCATTTAACACACTTTTCCAGTTTCAGACCAGGCTCAGGTAGAGGCTGCTGAGAAAAAGTGAATATCAAAGTATAGCAAACTTTTTTGCAACATATGCCTTCATGTGCTGGTGGTAACTCCAGCATCTTGAGGCCTCTTGTCGGGTGACAAACAAACATTCACAAGCTGTTGTGCGTTCACATGAATACATCACCATGATGAGCATAAACTGAGCTGGTCTGAAGAATAAAGGACTAGTAAGAGTGAAGAGGAAGCAAGCTCCAGGGGGCAGGAGGAGAGCACTGGTCCATCTCTCACACATGTGAGGAGGCTACCATCGTCACCGCTGCCCAGTTAGAGCGCTGCTGTCCAACTATGCATCGTTGGACAGCAGCGCTGAATACAAATATGCACATTTTCCTGCTGGTGAGGCTGAACCCCGACTGTGTGAGATGTTATGAATGGATGGAATTGGCAACGAGCTCGTGTTTGACATGACCATCTAGTCGGGGCCCTGGTTGAAGAATTTCAACAGCTCGAAAATATCTTTCTTATGAACCGGCTCACTGTTGGCGATGGGAAGATGCTAAACATGACTCATGCAAACTATTAAAATGTTTCTAGGTCAGCTTTGCTGGTGAATTTGCAGTGAAGAGCTTGAAAGCTAGAAGATTTCAAATGAATCTGTCCGCCTTTCCATTTTACAGTAGAATGTGTGATGTGTTATCTTATACATTGGATTTATTTAGAGGTTTCCTGGTGCTAATGGGCAAACGGAATGAGAGTAGAAGCAGACCGTAATGCTGAATTTGATCGTCTCAGATATTCTCACTGCCTGAATTTGATTGTCTTGAATTCTAGGCATGCGCTATAGGAACCATGATACATCAAGAATGCGACAAATCTACCTTGAGCTCACAGCTACACATACCACGTATTTACATTCACATTTTAAATGGCTTAAATGCAAGTAAAATACGACCGCCTGCCAGAGAAAATCTCCCTGGGCCGTGTGGATAATGCGGTGAAACATGGGCCTCTTTGACACGGCAGTGAATTTTATTTCAACGTCCTCCGTAGGCTGCTGGAATACTGTGCTTTTAATGCATGATTTGTAAAGTGACACAGCACCTGAGCAGTGGTTGGTATCATCCACTTTACGTACAGCTTGTGTATGTAGGAGGATATGCTCGGGCCGTCTACCGTATAATCATTTTCACAGTATGTGGGGAGCTACACAATGTTGTTCAGTATATGTGCTGAACTATATTAGCCTGTTACATGTCCTGTTGTCCTCTGCCATCACTGTGTACTGTGTTACGCTGATGCCGTTCCTGCTTCAGCTTAACATTCCAGTCTCAGGCCCAGCCTCTTTCCTCCCCAACCCCCCCTGGCTACCTTCAGCCTCCTTTCCATCCTCCATTCCTCCCCACACAGCCGAGGATGGTACAGTCCCAGCGGGGAGAAAAGAAGAAAGAATAATGCAAGGACGGTAGAGAAAGAGAAGGGGGGGGGGAGCAGCCATGCATTAAGTTATTTTTTAAATGACGGTGATCAGAGCAGGCCGAAGGGAGGAGGGACGAATGGAAGTGTTGGAGGACCGAGGGAGGCGGGCTCAGGGCTCTCCTGACTGCCTCATTCTCCCGTCTCATTGGTCGGGCTTTAGCTTCGTTCATGGGCGACCCCTCTCGCCTGCAGCCTCTGAAGCGGCCACGACAGCTGTCATCACTACGTACGTCAAAACCTGCCGCACGCATTTCAGCCCTAAAGTGTCTGGAGATGAGACCGTGGGGAGATGGTCGGCATGTAGGATGCTCCCAAAGCCCCCCCCCCGACAACAGTGGTCAGAGAATATTGAGGAATCAGAGATTCATAAACAACGTCAGCGAGCCTTTAGATTCACACACATTGGATGAGGGGTTCCAGTTTGTCAAGATTTCACTCCAAGCATATAATTGCTTTTCCACAATCACAGTAGCATCCTGCTCTATTCCTTTGTAATGTTAGAGAATACGATGCTTTTTACACATTTTTGTCCAATATTAGGACAGAGTGAACACCAGAAACCTCTCTCTTAATGCCCCAAAAACAGTCTTCTGGATAAAAGTCACTACGCCCGCGTAGAAGACGTCCCAATAGCGTTGCGGTTTGAAGAGAGCTGCTGGAATCTGTTAGGCTTTACCCTGCGTGCATTTGCTCTCTGAATGCGGAACGTCGGTGAAATATGAAGTGTTGCAGATTTTTGGACTGGATGCTGGCTGGTTTCGCGCGAGAACTGCAGCTTTGGCGTTCTGTAAAGAATGTGCACGGGTAAAAGGAAACGTTCGTTCGTGTACGAGAGCCAGTCTGAGACATTTTTGTGATGTGGCTCGGGGTCAAGGTTGGAGGATACGGGGTCGGGTCAGGCGTTTAGCACTGATGGAGCGCATTACTGAGAATGTAGTAACAATGAATGTAGTTGAGGGGTCCTCATGAGGAGGGACTGCCATTGTTGAGCATTCTGTTCCCTCAGGGCTCGCTGGGCCTCATGTTGTCATATTGCAGGAAGCGCCGACCGAATGTTTGACATTAATGCCCGAATGACAAGTCACTGCCACGAGAAAGCGTGTCAGTTAGTTTTATTCAAATTTGACAAGGAATTGACATGACATTAGCGGATTCATTGTCTGCTCATTTGACGCAGTGGCTTAAACATAACAAAGTACAAACCCTGTCACTATCTTGTCCTGCCAACTACATGCTTGAAGTAGATGTTTTACAGAGAGGAAGACATTTTTTTTTATATTGGACAGGCATATTTGAATGTTTAAGACAGGTTAATCTTTCTGCAACTTTATGTTGTTTTATTTATTTATTTTGTACTTCTTTAGCTTAGTCTGGATACTCTGTCGTGCCTCATATGCAGAGATATCCAGATGGGTGTGCTGTGTGCTGAGGAGATCTGTTTTAAAGGACATGGCTGTTGGCTAAACGTTGTAAATTCTGACAATGTTGTGTGTGGGTTCCTTTGTGTCGTGTCGATGCCTGCTTGCATTATATTTCCTCAGTTTATCTGTAAAAGATCACACCGATATTGGGGCCAATCCCCCTCTTTTTTTTAAATGTCAATTTATTTATTTGTATACGTCAGAGGCGTTTTCCCTGTTCCTCTCTGAGCGTGACTTCGACCCAGTAACCCCTCTACGCCACCATCTGATTCTACCACACACTACCCTCAACCCTCTGCCAACTTCACTACCAACCCCCTCCACACACACACACACACACACGCCCACACACATGCCCACACACAGACATTCCCACAACAATTCAGAACACAGTCCCCAAGTTTTTTTAGTTTTTTTTTGATGTCCTCTCAAGCCCTCAGACATGAATGCTGGTCCTACCCCAACATCCACAGACGCGCACCCTTACCAAATCCCCCGGGAAGTTGCTTTGACATGCGACAAACGAACAAGTCGTAAACAAGCTACTCACGCACAAGGCCGACTATGAATCAAATGTGTGCTAAAGTGACTAAGGCCCGAGGCCGGCGGCTCCATCTCGGCCTTTGTCTTTCATTCCGTCTCTGCTCACCTGCGTCTTTATTGCTCTTTCTGACCCGCTCCCTCTCTTTGTCTAAAAAAAAAAAAAAAAAGTTGATAAAAAATTTCTATTCTCGGTCTGGAGCTGGCTTGCTGTCCCCCGCAGCAGGGTGAGGCCTGTCACTTTAAAATTGACTAAATACAGGGCTAAAAGTTTCCGTTGTGAAACGGGGCTGAAGTAAACAACGCTGTACTACTGACACTGCACTTCTGAGTTTCGGTTAACCCCGGGTTAACAATGCGTGTGTGAAAAGGGGCCAAGTTGTCCCAGGGTCACCTCCTGCAGTGTGAAAAGCCTATTGAAGGGCTGAACTGCATCTGCTGTGACGTGTGCACTAAATGTCATCTCCCTATCTCTCCACATGCTGCTGTGGACCTTGACCTCACCCAACATGAACAGGAATCAGTCCAAGGTAACGGCACACACCGACATGCACAGACACTTCTCAGACTGAGCTTATTCTGTGGCTGTGAATCATCGCGGTGTCGAACAGAGGCTGCTGTATTTCACCGACTCGCTTTGTGAATCGACAGCAACCGCCCAGGCAGCGATGCAAAGTAATGATTTGTAAAACAGTTTTTATTTCTTGTTTAATTTTTTAACTTTAAACGCCCAAGGCATATTTGTTGCTAGGAAACTGACATGTCTGTGGCTGTGCGGCGGCTCACTTTACTGTATGTCAGCATTTGTCTTTTCATATGAAAGATTGTGCCTCATAAGTGCCCTAACCCCAACCCATGAACCACACGACACATAAAGTGCACCGTTACACGAAGAAAAAAGTCATTTATATCCAACTTTGTTTCCTTGTTTCTGAAAGCCAATTAAATCAAACATTTTAAACTGGTAAGCTGGATAATATCTTCATCACAAATCCCAGTTGACTGCCATTTTTAGAAATAACTCATTCATACACAACCTACAATTGGAGGGAACCTCCTTCATATATATGGACAGTTTTTTTCCAAAAACTGTTTGGCAAGTCAAAGGTGAAATGTGTTTTTAAATGTTTTCGTTGCTGCGTTACAGTCGGCCGTAGATTAGTGACGTTCGTGTCTCATGCTGCCACATGTTTCTCCTCCCAGGTCTTTGCCTACGATTACTGTTTCTGGTCCATGGATGAGACTGATAAGGAGAGATTTGCTGGTTAGTTCACACAGTATTTAAAGTTTTAACATTTTCCCACTAAAACATATGGGTTCATAAAGTATCCATATTCACAATGAAACTGAATAAACTTCCATGTTTGTGGGTCCAGATCAGGAGGTGGTCTTCCAGTGCCTTGGGGAAAGTCTCCTCCACAACGCCTTCCAGGGCTACAATGCCTGTATCTTTGCCTATGGACAAACTGGTAATTAACCGAGAGACAACTCGCTCGTCTGTTAACAATATGATGTGAATCTATTTCATTACAGAGCCTATTAAATACCTACAGGGCACGCTGTGTGAACAATGTCTCTTTAGCCTCATTAGCGTAGCGCCCTAAAGCTTTTTGTATCGTGATTAAGAGAGGAGTGTCAGTGTGGATGTGTTGCAGCAGGAAGGTTGGACAGCCTCTGTTCTCTAAGGTAAGAAACAAATCCCAGAGCTCAAAAGCAGTTTCCAACCAAAAGCAGAACTTAAGAGGCACGATAGACCTTCAATGTTGCTAGAACCCAAACACGCGTAAGTGGTGTTGTGCATACGGCGCAGATATCTGAACGGGTTCAAATGAAAGTGTTTTCATTCCATCAGTGTAAAAAAAACACTTGATAGACTCTGATTCTGATGAATCATTCCGGTGTCTACACAAAGCCAGAATGAGTTGGGCCCTCAGGGGCCACTTTCTCACCAACAAGACCCACTACAAACTAGTGGTCCACGTTTTTGACACTTAAGAGGTTTTAATTCAACTTTATGTTCTAGCATTGAGGGCAGAGTTGGTGGAGTGGCATCTTTTTTTATTATATTTTATATTTCAAATTTAGATCAATATAATCCAGTCCAGTGCAACACCACCTTTATCTCTGACCTCAGTAATAAACATATAATTTAATTTACACATTTTCGACCATGCCAAGGAATACTGAACATCATTAACATTGTAACGGTATAATTTACGCCTGAGCAGTTTTATTGATTTTTATTATATTGCATACTTATGCACCTAATGTAGTGGCCACTTGTTTAATATTTAATGACTCAGTGGAAATGGCTTGACTGCGTTTCTCAAAGTTTTGCATCAGCTGCCATTTTCCCCTTTCCAGTAGCCTGTCCCTGCTGACACCGTGTGTGTGTGTCTTTACCAGGTTCAGGGAAGTCGTACACCATGATGGGTTCGGGGGACCAGCCGGGTCTGATTCCGCGTCTGTGCAGCGCTTTGTTTGACAGAACCCAGAAGGAACAGCGGGAGGAGGAGTGCTTCACCGTTGAGGTGTCCTACATGGAGATCTACAACGAGAAGGTCCGAGATCTGCTCGACCCCAAAGGGTACGACCTCGACTTAATCCTCAAACTTTTTTATTATGAAGAAGAATTATTTTCTTTGTCTCTGTATAAGGTCTAAGGTATCTAAGGTTAGTTTTAGTTTTCAGTCATGGATTGGGGCATCCACCTTAAATATGCAAGTTAGTTGATAGAAGGAGAGAAAGTTGCTGGTGGATTCTGGGACCACCAGCTGCTGCTGTGGTCAGTGGATGAAAAGATCACTCCTCTGCCTCGCAGTCGCTGGTCGAGTCCAGTTCATCTCCAGCAGGTCAGCAGTAAATCAGCAGCACAGGCTTGCGTCTGCTGCCCCAGACAGCATGACCTCTGACCTTCCCTCACTATGTGACCTTTAACCTCAGTGAAAGGGGCCAAAGAGAAGCAGACCATCTGACAGCCATATGGGCTTTTTACCGTGGAGCAGAGAATGATGAAGTTGTGAGGCCTGGAGCAAGTTTGAATCGGCGTCGGAGAGACGAGTGCTAACCAAAGTCCCTGTGAACTGGGGGGGGGGTTGTAGTGGTGGCCAGAACCAGCTGAGCCTATATTGACTCTCCTGCTAATACACCAGAGGAATAGTAATTTACCAGCTGTGACCACGTTGTTTGTCTGTGTTGTAAACCTGTTTTTATTTTCTGTCCAGGGGAAGACAAACTCTGAGGGTGAGGGAACATAAAGTTTTGGGTCCCTACGTGGACGGCCTGTCTCGACTCGCTGTGGCCTGCTACAAGGTAAAAATAAATACATTTATTGACTTGCTAATTGACGTCTACTGCTGTGTTGCATCCTGGCTGCCACTCTGACCAGTGTGTCGGTGTCCAGCTGACACGGATGTCTGCAGCGCATCGTACTGGCATTCCTTCTGACTTGGATCTTTAAACTTTGAGGATTTGTAACAGCGTTGCTCACGTGACGGCAGCAGTCTGCTTAGTAAGTGGCCTACCAATCACACTGGAAAGAGGCTAGTAATAAAAATGTCAGAATTAATTACCTTTTTCTTAGTTTATATTGGGCTTCCCTTCAAACTCTTCACCATATAAAGCAGTCACTAAATACATAGAGGCATTGAATATTACCAAATTTACTGTATAATATTCCTCACAGTCAGTTCCTTCATTTATTGTTTGATTTCTGTTGCTCTGCCAGGACGTCGAGTCTCTGATGTCGGAGGGGAATAAGTCGCGGACCGTCGCCGCCACCAACATGAATGAGGAGAGCAGTCGGTCGCACGGCGTCTTCAACATCATCCTCACACACACACTGAAAGACTTGCAGTCTGGGGTGAGATACAATACACACGGACCAGTGCACTACAAGTTCATCCTAGTTTGCATATCATCAGACATCCCCTCCCTCCTTCTGTTGCCCCAGAATCCATCTGCTACATCTTGAATGTGGTGGTGTTTTTCTGTGATTTATAGTATCTGTCAACATATTCCAGAGGTGTACGTGTAATTGTGTACACTTGACTGGTCAAACGGTGCCTGGTGTCTTATCCATCACCCCCTGCCGCCAACCGGGGGAAAAGGTAGTTACAAAACGGGATGATGTCAGCTCAGCTGTCTGACCGGGCACTCTGGGAAAAGAGCTAAATGACTAATTCTCCATCCTCACTGACCCACTTGGGCTCTCCTGCTCCTTGCTCTTATTTCCAGATAAACTTCGCCACCAGCAAATCCTGTTAATAATTCAACGGCATGACTTTGAGTTTGTCAGCTGATACAGCCTGCTCTGTTTTCACGGCACACCCAGTCACTCACTCAGTAGCTTCATCAAGCAACCTGCTAATATGTAGACTGTGTAGTCAGTGAATCACATCCTGTGTCTGGATGAGTCCGCTCTTTATTGTTTTTTATTGCTTTATTACATTTTTTCCTCATTCTACTTGAGCTCTGATCCGATTAATTCACTTTTGTTGCTTCGTGGTGCTCAGCAGTTATGAGCGATGTTGGACCTGTGTTCAAAGTTTGAAAGAAAACAAAGAAAAACTACAAGCAGTGCTGAGAACAGTGTGCAAAAAACCTTAAGTGCTTTATAACGAAACAGTTGATCCTCGGACAACAACGTTTCATGAGAAACGGTAGCTACAGTATCGTCTAACCGGTATGGAAGCCCCAGAGTGTTTGCTAAATACATGCACAGAGTGTGAATGAAAACAGCCAAATGGATATCCTAAATTGGTTGTTTAACCATTTATTAATTCATAAATATGGAAAGCGAGGATACACATTTATAAAGTTATTTAGAGCATCAATCGTCAGAAAAATAGACAAAACAAAACAACTAATGGAAGAACTTGTGATGTGCATTTTTCAGTATTTTCTGACTTATTATGGGCTAGAAGATTAATAATGAATCAATGAAATATTTACCAGGTTAATCAGTAATGAACATAATCATTGGTGCTTGAAACTGTTCAAGCACCAATAACTGGACTCAAATAACTGGATGTAGTGTTCAGTTAAGCTTTAATTATATGCAGACCATCTTGTGTTTTAACGATCATAGCATTGGAGCTCATCTGTGCCCCCTAACGGCTCAGCCAGTATGAGCAACAGTGATGAAGGCACAGGTTTTAAAAAAAAAAAAAAAAAAAAAAAAAAAAGAAGAAGAGCAGCTACCTATGACGTGTAGCGTAATCCTGGGATGAGTCATTTTGTCGCTCACCACAGGATTTCCTTTCAGTAGCGCGTCCTGCTCAAACTTGTCAACCAAAGACTCAAAGTTCAGTCAGTCTGAACTTCGGCCCTGTTTGCTGCCACCTCTCCGTTGTTTGCTGTGTCGTTCTGTGCTTTGCTGAATCCTTTGGTGACATAGTTGAATGTTCAAAACAATTATGATTTTTAAAAAAAAAAAAAAAAAAAAAAATTCCCCATGGAGTCGCGTCATAGATATTTAGCGTGTATTGATGCCCTGACACTTGTTCTGTGCTGGTACCTTAAAGCTGCTGTATGTCCTGCCTGCTGACCTGGTTACTGACCTCTCATGGTTACACGAATCCCTTGTTGAGAAAGGAAGATGCCTCAGTGGCTGGTGTTTCCAACTTTTCTCTTATTTCATCAGCCAGCTAGACATTATGAATTAAATAGGACAAAGAGTGTCTGCATGCTCTATGCAATTAATAGAACTGTAGAGACATGCACATTGAAAAGAAAGTGGTTTACTGGTAATTATTTCAAAGTCTGGCACAACCAGGTAACGGGACCTGGCACTGTTTGTTAGAATCTAGTCATTGCTCGTTGCAATAAGGAGCTGCGATGATTGAATTACACTAAGTTGTAGCTTCCTACTGTACATAGTGGTGTTCACGTTCACCAGCTTCACCTCCCCTCTATCTGGCTCTCCAATAGCTATTGACAGTCACTGGCTCTATTTTTAGAAGTTACAAAAAAAAAACGTTTCTATTTTTGGATTTTATTTGCTCAGTGTCCCAGATAGAAATCTCTTGTTTGTTTAATAATTAGTTTTACTCTGGGGGGATTTGAGTTTTGGTGTAAAGCTGATCTGTATCAGTGCAGAGGAAGTTGATCTTTATCAGTAATTCTTATGACCGGTTCTTTTCAGGTTTTGGGTTTGCCTTCTTGTTGTGATCATTAGCGAAGAGGGCGATGATGCAAATCTTTTTAAAAACATCTGTTTTCAGTCAAAATAAGGTCACACCACTGAAGAAGATAGCAGAAGCAGTGTGGAACACAGATAGATTAAATGGAGGCATGAGTGTGTAGGAGTAAACCCGTTTCCTCAACAAGTAGGGAAATATCACAGGATCTGGGCAACGTCGGGCACGTTTTGTCTGACATTAATGGGAAAACTCGTTCCATTTGGAGTCTTATTATAAAGACGCCTAGCAGATAAAGCCCCAACACCAGACATGTTTCACCAACGGTTCTCAGTCGACATATAAACACTGGCTATGCGAAGGCTTGTACTTCACAGAAGCACTGCGGCTGAACACTCCCACCTTAGACACAGACGGAGGACTGCTCTGCTGTGCAGCAGTCAGGTGAAGATCAGGTGTTAACATTCGGCCCCGTCAGCTGCTGACCTGTCACGCTTGGCCAGGAGTGGATCTGTCCCGGTATAGATGGCAATGTGATATCCGCACCTTCAGCAGCCCGTGAGAGGAAACCAAAGGAACCCGTCAACAAGAGACTGAAAGATGAGAAACCAAAGTCCTACAGAGCACTCGGTTGGTGGAATCGCAAGAATCTGAGAAAGCATAGAGAAGGTTTGAACAAGGGCCGACGAAAGCATCCAGCCAAGCGAGAGCAACATTGTCGAGGGGAGCTTTTCTGATAAAACCAAACACCTTGTTTATTCCTGGGTTGTCTGTTGCTATCATGCTGGCAAATCAGAGAAAATGCTCAGTTGAAAGCTCCTGAACACCCCAGCAGGGGTCGCCTTGATGTACCGGCTCCCTGGTGATTAATGAGCCATCCTGTCAGACCTCATGCGGATGTACGACACCGCTCTCCTTAATGTCCTAGACCGCAGCGCCAAGTCATTTGTGTGTCCTAGACCAGAACATCAGCTGGTTTTGATTTAGCGAGGGACAGTAATGAGAATCAACCCATGTCATGCTTCAAGGCCACCGTTGAAGCTCCACGTCCATCCTGCTACAAGACAAAAAGAAAATTCTCTCACGGGGTAATTCATTGAGCAAAATATTCCCTAATGTTCAATACTGCCAGTTGGGGCAAGTTTTAAAGTGGTCTGGGCAGAATTGTCCAGCGAGGCAAATTTAAAAGCCGTCTCATGTGGACAAAAATCGAACAATCATCCGCAAAACCACTTTTTTTCGAATGGAAAGTAGGGGTGGGCCATTACTGTTTAAATAAAAAATATGCAAGTTGTCAGTTTAACAGCTGAATGTACTGTAGAGAATGAGACGATAATCGGTCTCTTGTCTGTCTTTCTCTGCAGACGAGCGGGGAGAAGGTGAGTCGGTTGAGTCTGGTAGACTTGGCTGGAAGCGAGCGAGCAGCAAAGACTGGAGCGGCGGGGGAACGGCTGAAGGAGGGAAGCAACATCAACAAGTACGCCAACGCAGTTCAACATGGACACACAAACCCATGACTAGGTTTTTTTTTCCCCCTATCAGGCTGTTTAATCGAGTCTTTACCCCTTAAATTGTCTGACATGTTTTGGCCTTGGCAGAATTTACATTTTTTTCTAACCACAGATTGTACTCGTATGCCTCGTTTTTTTGGTAATTTGCATTTATGTGAAAATGTGAAAGAAGGCATATAAACTGTTATTGGTTTTATTTACTTTTTCTGAATTTATTGCCCCACTACAGCAACTTTACTTTCAGCTAAATCATAGAATAATACAAAGTGAATGTGTCTGTAAAAACCCTAATAACAAGCTTAATTTTAGGTAATCCCAACACACAGGGTCATATCGATATCGACCATTGAACAGATGCATGAAATGACATGAGAAGAACTTAACCCGAGTGTTTTTGTGCGTGTGTGTCAGGTCTCTCACCACGCTGGGCCTTGTGATCTCGGCGCTAGCTGAACAGGGAACAGCCAAGAACAAGAACAAGTTTGTTCCTTACAGAGACTCTGTTCTGACATGGCTGCTGAAGGTACGTACACGATTAACATTTCCCCCTTGTTCGACTGTCCAGTGCATGTTCTTTATTGTCGTATAATTTCTCTTTCCCGTCTCCTCCTCCAGGACTGTCTGGGCGGCAACAGTCGCACGGCGATGGTTGCTACCGTGAGTCCAGCAGCCGACAACTACGAGGAGACGCTGTCGACGCTGCGCTATGCGGACCGAGCGAAGAGCATCGTTAACCACGCGGTGGTCAACGAGGACCCCAATGCTCGCATCATCAGGGAACTCCGAGAGGAAGTAGAGAAACTGCGAGTGCAACTGACTCAGGCGGAGGTGAGAGATCTTTGGAATCTTAGAAATCGGCATGTAGAACTCTGCTTTCCCACACTCTCATCTGCTTTTTCTGTTTTTTTTCTTTCCAGTCTTTGAAGGCTCCCGAGCTGAAAGACCGACTGGAAGAGTCAGAGAAGCTGATTCAAGAGATGACCATCACGTGGGAGCAGAAGCTTCGCAAAACGGAGGAGGTCGCACAGGTGAGACACACTAGAGTGGTGAATATATTAAACCAAACCTGTTGAGCTACAATACATAATCACTACATTTGGTAAAACTACTCCCCAGCTATAATTTTAGAGATTGGATTATACACTTTGTGAATGGGATCTCTGTGTATTTTGCAGGAGCGCCAGAAGCAGTTAGAGAGTCTGGGTATTTCTCTCCAGTCTTCAGGGATTAAAGTTGGAGACGATAAGAGTTTCCTCGTCAACCTCAACGCCGATCCTGCCCTCAACGAGCTGCTGGTGTACTATCTGAAGGTACACACCGAATAACAAACAACGTCGTCACTATAATTGAGTTCACTTTCTGTGTTTGACACAATTTTCCTTCCATCTTCACCGTTTAAACATTACATCTTGACTCAAATCTTTACACATGCAAGCTATTTGGGTTATAGAAAGCTTTCAAGAAAACAAAATCAAGCTTGTGTTAAATGGGCGAGATCAGAGCAGATAAAGATAAAAATCTGTGGTTGCATTTCTAAAAAAAAAAGTCCATGCACATTATGAAGTTGTGTGGCTTTAATCCTGTAGACATGACTCTGTCAAGGTGGTTATATTATCTAACTCTGCGGATAACGTTTAGTCATATGTGGAATGTTTTGTTTTTTTAGGAGCACACAAAGGTGGGCTCGGCCGACTCTCAGGACATTCAGCTGTGCGGCATGGGCATCCAGGCAGAGCACTGCGTCATCGACATAACGGCGGATTCTGCGGTCATCCTCAGCCCCTACCGCAATGCTCGGTGAGGAACGCCGATATCTCAGACCCCGAGGTCTAAGTGTGTATGGGGGGGGGGGCAGCACTTGCAGCCAGGGTTTAGAGGCATCCGTCTTCAACAGTGAATCCTGATGCCGTTGCGGTCTGTGTTGTGTTCTAGGACATGTGTTAATGGTTCTCCAGTGACCAGTGCTCTGCAGCTTCACCACGGCGACCGAATCTTCTGGGGAAACAACCACTTCTTCAGGTAAATGATCAAATATTACTCAATATTTGGTTGGTTGATTTTTGTTTTCCCAGCCTGTATACACAAGAACTATTATGTAAATTCAAGTTGACATAAGTTGCACCTCTTTTAAATATACGTATCATTTTCTTCAATATAAACATTCACTCAATTTATTTGAATTGTTATTTAAACACAGTTTTATTACATCCTAGCAATGTTTTCTGCACCAGCGTGAGGATTGAAGATATTGTGCCATCTAAAGATATACAACATATCGCTGAGTTGATAGCAACTCAACCGACAGAAATGATACCAAAGATTACGGTCAATTAACTGGACATCCCACCTGCAGGATCAACCTGCCTAAACGGCGCTCTCGGGGAGCTGAGGACGAGGAGGGGGAGGGTGGTGTGATGAAGAACAGCGGCAGCAGTGAGCAGCTGGATGCGGATGGTGACACAGCCAGCGAAGTGTCCAGTGAAGTCAGCTTCTCCTACGAGTTCGCCCAGACAGAGGTCATGATGAAGGCCCTGGGCAATAATGGTAAGGAGGCGTTAAGGAAATCCAATATCTATATTCTGCATTGACGGAGCTTTAGTTGGTTTAGTCTCCTGTGTTTTCTGACTCCTCTACGTTTCGCTCAATCAGACCCCATGCAAGCAGTCCTGCAATCTCTAGAGAGGCAGCACGAGGAGGAGAAGCGCTCTGCTCTGGAGCGGCAGAGACAAATGTACGAGCAGGAACTCCAGCAGCTCCGCAAGAAGCTGAACCCGGACCGCCTGTCGGCCGGCCCCTCTGGAGGGCCGGCGTCCGGCCAGCAAGGTCCAGGACAGCAGTCTCAGTACCGCAGCCTGGAGAGGCTCAGCATGGGAGGGATGAGTCATTCAACCAGCGCTCAGAGCAGACTGAGACAGTGGAATGAGGACAGGTTGGAGTGAATTCATTTAATTTTTACATCTTTTTATGTCTTCATTTTGATATAAATGCAAACTAAACACCACCTCTTTCTATTCCCTCCCCATACGCCTCTGTCCCCTCTTCTTCACTGCCACCCCCGCTCCTCCTTCAGGGAGGCGGTGTTGGTCAGGAGTCTGCGGCGGTTGAGGGAGCAGATAGTGAGAGCAAACCTCCTGGTGCAAGAAGCCTGTTTCATCTCTGAGGAGCTGGAGCGACACACAGAGTACAGAGTCACTCTCCAAATCCCATCAGACAACCTCAACGCAAACCGCAAGGTCTCTCTCTCACACACACACACACACACACACACACACACACAAGCATGTAGACACTCACACAAGCATGTAGACACTCACACATGCAGAGATCTCCCTGTCATCTGTTTTTAACACAGACAATTCTCAAAATACATCTGTGTGTGTGTGTGTGTGTGTGTGTGTGTGTGTGTGTGTGTGTGTGTGTGTGTGTGTGTGTGTGTGTGTGTGTGTGTGTGTAGAGGGATGCAGTGCTCAGCGAACCAGCGATTCAGGTCCGACGACGGTGTCGAGGGAAGCAGATCTGGAGTCTGGAGAAGATGGAGAACCGTCTGGTTGACATGAGAGAGCTCTACCAAGAGTGGCAGGACTACCACCTCCATCACCAAGACAACCCTGTGAGTTAACTTGACAAAGTTAAGATACGCTAGAACTCTCATATCGGTAAAACAAAGTTTTATTGTATTCCACATTCTCCTTCTTTCCTTGTTCAGGTGATGCGCTCGTATTTCCGTCGAGCAGACCCGTTCTTCGACGAGCAGGAAAACCACAGTCTGATCGGCGTTGCAAATGTCTTCCTTTCCTGTCTCTTCTATGATGTCAAGCTGCAGTACGCTGTTCCCATCATCAACCAGAAGGGAGAGGTACAGTAGTCTCAGACCTGTTGGTTATCAATTTGATCCCTCCATCTCTTTGTCATAAAAAAGGGAATCGGTAAGGAATCAGCGCTTTGGAGATAGTCTCCAGACTTGGTGTATTATAAACTTCTTTAATGTAGTTTCTGTTGTGTTTTTTTTAATTTCCTGCAGCTACTTCTGTTGAGATTTTTCTAGTAATCTCTGTGACACCATTCCAGAATGACTTTCATTGAGATCAGCAGTCTTTTAATTTCTGGATCATCATGGGTGTCCGAGTTATAGGTCGCATGATTGTCAGATGATGGTCATGTTGCCAGAATGCTAAAGTCTAACAAAATACTACAAAGGTTGTGACAAATAAAGCAAATGTTTAAGTACATTTCAGCTAGATTTTTAAAATGGAACTCTAAATGGTGGATGAGTAGCTCTGGAGTCGATGAACCTTTATTTACACACTTTTTCTAGGTATGGATGGGGGTCAAAGTGTTTTATAATGTTTTCCTGTCTGCTCTCCTCTCGTCAGGTGGCAGGGCGTCTCCATGTGGAGGTGGTGAGGGTTGGAGGGGGATTAGAGGACAACATGGCTGGAGGAGATGAACCCGACAACAATCAAGACACTGAAGTGCACGATCGCAAACTGGTCTGCATGGTAAGACAGAGGGATCATCAGGGAGAAGTACACTATCTATACTATGGTATTCAGACCTGGGTCAGTCAGTAGTTTCAAATCCTTCCAGGAGGACCTGCACAGTCCTGCAATCAATTCTGGAGTTTGTTCTGAAATGACTTTTGACTCGTGTTCCCTCTACAGATTAAGATCCTGCAGGCCACTGGTCTTCCCCAGTACCTGTCCAACTTCGTCTTCTGTCAGTACTCCTTCTGGGACCAGCCTGAGCCCATCATCGTGGCTCCTGAAGTAGACCCAGCGTCCTCGTCGCCCACCACCAAGGACCCACACTGCATGGTGGTGTTTGACAGCTGCAAGGTGAAGCCTGGGAGGGAGGAGGCGGGCAACTATAATCGTTGTGTTAAACTGACACATGGGGAGCTGGAAAGCTGATATTTATGTAAAAGGTGGTGTGTGGGGACATGTTGTTGGTGTAAGACTGATCTTCATTTGGTGCTGCAGGAGGTGGCAGTGTCGGTGACCGAGGATTTCATCGAATACCTGACTGAAGGGGCCGTTGTCATCGAGGTATTTGGACACAGACAGGCAGATGCAGGAAGAAACCCCGCCCTGTGGGACCTCAGCATCATCCAGGCCAAGACGCGCACACTACGAGACAGGTAGACAGTCACCTTTGACTTTTTACGTTTCCCCTTTCCTTTCCAGTAAATGATGAAAAACCAATGCACTGGTGTGGCCCAGATGTGCTGATGATGTTTGTTTTTTGTAGGTGGAGTGAGGTAACGCGTCGCCTAGAGCTGTGGATTCAAATCCTGGAGATAAATGAGAACGGAGACTTTGTCCCAGTGGAAGTGGTTCCTGCTAGGGATGTGCAGACCGGGGGAATCTTCCAGCTTCGGCAGGTATGGGAAAACGCAACCACAGTCGACTTGATCACAGCAGGTGGAACGAGAAAACGTCAACTGAAAAGCCAGCTTCTAATTATTTTCTGTGTCTCGCGCCTCCTCCTCATCTCCAGGGTCAGTCGAGGCGAATCCAGGTGGACGTGCGTTCGGTTCAGGACTCGGGCACCATGCCTCTGATCGCTGAAATACTGCTCGCAGTGTCAGTGGGTTGTGTGGAGATCCAAAACACAGCAGCAGACCAGGAAGGAGACGAGATGGACAGCTATCAGGTAGATCAGACGAATACAGCTCTGTCCACAGCTCGTTCGCCTCCTTTAATACGTCTTAAATTGACTTAAAAGTGAACTGGACCCCGAAATGTTGAACTTACTGGTTTGTTGTTGCAGGAAAGAGACCTGGAACGTTTGAGGCGGCAGTGGTTAGCTGCTCTCACCAAGAGACAGGAATACCTCGACCAGCACCTGCAGAGCCTGGTCAGCAAAGCAGGTAACGCACACACACACACACACAAGTATACAAACATTCATAAAAACAAGCTTACACATTCCAAAATCCGCCCTCTCTTTGGGTTGTTTGGTGTCTTTCAGTGTAGGAAGTGTTAAAGGTGTGAGTGTTGTTGTGTGCACAGAAAAGACTGAGGATGACATGGAGAGGGAGGCCCAGCTGCTGGAGTGGCGCTTGACTCTGACGGAGGAGAGAAACGCTGTCATGGTGCCCTCTGCTGGCAGCGGCATTCCCGGAGCGCCTGCTGAATGGTATGAAACGCGGCAGGACGTGTGCGCGTCTCTGAATAGATTTATTTGATGTTTCTTTGTGAAGGCCTCTCTCAGCTTTACTTCCGTAAGGGACAGAATCGTGTGTATGTTGATCCCGGTGTGTATCGCATGTTTGTTCACAGGGTTCCTCTGCCGGGCATGGAGACTCATACTCCTGTCCTCTTCCTGAACCTCAAACGTATGTCACTTCTTTGCCAAATAAAATATGCCTGCTCACGTGTTTTTCTACTCGCCGGCTGATTTGCGATGTGTTCTGCTGGTTTTCCCCAGCTGATGACCTCAGCTCTCAAGAGCAGTTCGAGGTTCCCGAGGCTGGAGGTTGGGACGCCACCCTGAGCGGAGAGGACGAGGACGACTTCTTTGACCTGCAGATCGTCAAACACTACGACGGAGAGGTGAGGATGACGGACCCGCATGAGGTATTTCCCCCCCCCCAGAGGACGTCCACTTGGGGAAACCGTGTCATTAACCAAGTGTGTGTTTGTCGACACCTGCAGGTCAAAGCAGAGGCATCATGGGACTCCACCGTCCACGAGTGTCCCCAGCTCAGTCGCGGGGGGGCGTGGCCGGAGCACCGGGTATACCTGACGGTTCGAGTGGTGGTGCAGCTCAGCCACCCCGCCGACATGCAGCTGGTCCTGAGGAAGAGGTTCTGCGTCAACATTAACCCGGGACGCCAGGGTTTTGCACAGAACTTTCTCAGAAGGATGTCCACCCGCAGCACCATACCTGGCTGCGGGGTCACATTCGAGGTGGTCTCCAACATCCCCGGGGTAAGGCCAGAAGAAGATATCAGGCGTGTTTCGCCTAAGAAACTTTCAGAAGGGTGGATCACTTATCACAAATATTTTATGATGTTTTTGTGCCATCAGGACGCCCCTGGTTCAGAGGACAGGGAGATGCTGGCCAACCTCGCCGCCAGCGCACACAACGGCCAGTCGGCTGATAACGAGGCCGCAATTGAGAAATACCTCCGCAGCGTCCTCAGTCTGGAGAACATCCTGACTCTGGATAGACTCAGACAGGTAGGTGAAGGAACCGGTAGCGAGACAGACAATCTCAAGTCGATAGAAATTAGATCTGTTGATCGATAAGCAGACATGCAGTGTTTTAACACACAGCTGCCTAGAAGACACGGCACTTTCTAATACATTGACATGTGCTGTGTGTGTGTTTTAGGAGGTGGCAGTGAAGGAGCAACTGACGAGCAGAGGGAAGAGCAACAGACGGAGCATCAGTTCTCCTTCTGTCCACAGGGTAAAACACATACAGTGCCACTACAATATTACTAGAAGACGATGCAAAATAGTACAACATAATCTGATTTCACTCTCTCTCTCTCTCACTGTCTGTCCATCCTCAGCTGTCTGGAAGTAGACAAGACCTGTCCACAACCTGCCTGGACGACAAGGTAACACACTATTAGCTTCTTGCCTCTACATGTTGACTCTTCTCAGCAACAGCTGGTTAAGAGTGACGAGTTTGATGTAACTGAATAACACATTTCCAAACCCATGTCCTGCCTGTCTGTTTCTCAGGGCCGATGGGAGAGTCAGCAGGATATCTTCATGCCGTCTCAGTTTTACCGCACCCTCCCCCGGCCCGCCTCGTCCCCTTCCACCTACTCCACCTCCCCGTCTTCATCCCCGACTCCCTTCGGCATGTCGCCCCCGCAGAACCAGGAGCCGGAACAAGGTAAACCTCCTCCCTTTACTCCCTCTACTCTGTTCTCTGTCATACATCCCTTGTCACTTTTCCTCTCCTACCAGTTCCTTCATCCCTCTTCTCTTCTAAACAGGTTCATTCATTTCTACTACACACTGATCTCAATAAGACTTTGATCTCCATCATGAGACTCCACTCCTCCGCCAAAAATATCACTGTGTCATTGTTTACGTGACTAAATGCTGGGTCTCAATGCTCTGTTCCCTTTCTTTGACGCGTAAGATGATGTGTCTCTTCCTATCTGCTCCTTCTGGTGTCGCTTACATCCATTTCTGTAACCGTCTTCGTCTAACGCAGTGCTGCGAACTTCCTCCTCTCTCCTCATGGTCATTACCAAAGCTTTTCATTGTAATCAGTCTGAGTATATTCTGCCTCGTAGTGATTTGTTGTCCATGTCAGAATGCATGTTATTGTGACGTGCTTTAGATTAATTCCGTTCACGAAATGAACAGAATTAATATTTTTTAGTAATAGTGTTTTTTTTAATCACGTTGTAATTGCCAAATCAACCGTCAGTGTGTCTTATTGCTGGCGGATGTCTTCTTCTGTCAGTCTATCACTGTGTTGTTTTTTTGCCTTTTCCTGGACCTGCTTTCAACTTTCTTGTCTTACTCTTTCACACCTCCTCTACCTCCCACACCTGCTCCTCTTTCCTCGCTCCTTTCCTCTCCTCTGCCTCCTCCTCCTCCTCTCTCACCTCAACCCCCTCCCCCCAGGTCGTTCAGGACTTGCTGCCTCTTATCTTTCAGTTAAGGCGCTGGTTCCTCAGATGCCCAAACTGCTCAAGTCTCTGTTTCCAGCGCGGGACGAGAAAAAGGAGCTGAGACCGTCGCCACACAGCCAGCAGGTCAGCAGAGCTCTGTGCTTTGTTTTACTTTGTGGATGGTGAAGCTGGGTGGGACCCAGTTAGCCTCGCTGACGGAATAGAGATTACGAAGTTTAAGCATATAATCGGTAGTAAATGATGCTGGACTGGTTTAAAAAAAATGCCGAGCTCTGGCAGCAAGGTGAGTGTACGGGTGTGTTGCGTGTGTTGCCATGTCATGACCTTGTTTGTTGTTTCACTGCAGCATGTCCCTCGCATCATGACATCCGGAGGGGACGACAATCGAGTCAAAGCTGACACGGTGAGTCTCTCCTGTTTGATCACCTGTCGCTCACATTGTGATTCATGTCACGATTGGATTTGATCAATATGGGGATTGTTTTGTGCCAAATCGTTACAAAAATCTTTAGCTTTTCTTGTGTATTCGTAATTGGATCAAATTATTGGTCTGTGGATAAGCACTGCAGCTTTCGTCAATCTAATACGCTGTCATATTCAAGCTGCACAACACTTTCCGCAATTGCAATCTGGGGCCCCTCTGGACATTAAATTGTCTACTGCCATACTGAGTTTAAGAGTCGCTGCAGCTATTTATTACTGCCGCCCCCCCCCCGCCATAAATTTTGGTGGACTGACAGAGACGGAGAATCAGCAGAGGCTGAGATAACCCTGTATATTAGTCCACAGTATGGGCCAAGCTCGAGATACACTGGATCATACACCTCCAATAATGCAGGCAACAGTATCTTTGTTAGACGCTCTCTGCCTGGGAAATTAACCCCTTTAACTAACTGTTCTGCTTCCTTATTGGTTCCTGATCTGGTGCCGTTTGCAGTAACATAAGTGTATATGTGGTTTTGTTCCAAAGACATTTTCATGTATTTACTCATTCGCCCAAAGGGCGACTGCGTTATTTATTGCTGTCAAGCAGCGTGTGGCTGCAAATGTCAATGTTTTCATGCTGCACATAAGGGACCCTAGATTTAAGAGCAGCTGATTGGTCCAAAGGGTGACTGTGAGACTTTTTGGGGGGGAAGTTGATGATTTTTTGTTCTGTTTTGCCTTGCACGCTCTCGTCTGAAACCGTTGATTTCCTGTAGACTGCAGTTCTACGGCCCCCGGGCAAAGACAGACGGGCAGAGTTCCCAGACGTCCCTCCTCTTCCCGTGCATGACCCGCATGACATCACCCCCCTCAGCCAGTCATCGAGCGGCTACTTCTCCGGTAGTGTTTCTACGGTTACCCTGTGTGACGTCCTCCAACCCTCCTCCTCGTCTTCCTCCCTCCTGGCTGCCGAGACAGCGTTGCCCACAAACCCCCAGCAGCAGGGTGCTGACAGGAACGCTGTTGTAACCTCTCCTTCTCAGTGTGGCACCAAGACGGCCGCCGTCGCTCCGCCCGCCTCCCACAGCTCAGCCAATCACAACAACGTCGCAGCAGAAAACTCCTTCTCTGAACACAAGCTGGTCGACTCAGGAGGAGGAGGAGGAGGCGGCTTTGAGAGGCTGGAGATCTTTATGGACGATGACGACCGCAGCCATGATGACGTGCTGCCTGATTGGCTGACAGAAGGGGCGTATGTTACAGTAGGAAGCAATAAGGCCGGGACAGTGCGTTACGTGGGAATGACGCAGTTCGCCGAAGGAGTGTGGGTGGGGGTGGAGCTGGACACCCCTGTAGGCAAGTACACAATTCAAGGGCCACTTCACACAAATTACGCAAATAAATGAAAAACCAGACCAGGTTTTGGCCGAGTAAAAGAGTGTACCGTAGTTTTGTAACAATCACAAATATTGATTTGTTAATGTACGGCCTTTGATTGGTGGAGCTGACCACAGTTTACTTCTGAATGGCGTCCGGCTGACGGCCTTCTTTTGTTTTGCTCCCCACAGGTAAAAATGACGGTTCAGTCGGAGGTCATCGGTATTTCCACTGCAAACCGGGTTACGGGGTGCTGGTTCGCCCGGACCGGCTCTCCTGCCGCGACCGGACCAGCCGGCGCACGGGAGACTTCACCGCTCCCGCCCACGTCCCCGTGTTGCGAGGAGAAGCCATTGTTGCCCGACGGGGGGAGAACCGCAAGTCCTGGAGCAGTTGAGGCAGGGAAAGTAGGAGCTGGATGGGAGAGATGAACTCCCCGACAGCCCTCCTCCTCTTCCTCTCCTCCCAGCTATGCAACAGGCTCAAGCATTCAGAACTGACACACTGCCTACCCTCCTATTAGAAATTCACTCACTACATCCAATCACAAGTGATGGATGGAGGTAGAACAAAGACAATGAAGAGGCCATTCAGAACGAATGCAAGTAAGTTGATGAAAGACTATGCAGAGTATATACAAGTCCGTGGAAGGACTATTTATCATGTGGGAAGATGATGCTCAATGATTGGCGGTCAATGGGAAGACTGCTGAGAGTGAATGAAAGGCAGTGCGGACTTTGTCTCTCAGAGATGCATTCTGAGCTGATATACAGGGATGCAAACTGGTCACTTTATTTTGATCCCAGTTCCCTTCTGAGAATACATATTTAAACTTAAAGTGCAGACAAAACACTTCGAGAATGAAAAGGCTTCATCTTTTCCACTTGGATGCCGGCTATTATTATTGTTATTTGCCATTTTTTCATCTATCCACCATTCACAACAATTGGTTATTATTAGTAGTCATAGCTTCTAGAAATATTTAATTGATTTTTAATGTTTCTTTTGCCTTTTTTTTTATCCTCCTTTCACGTCTCACTCTCATGTCCTTTTGTGAATTAAGAAACAAAAATGGATCAAATTAGATTTTTTTTAATTTGGGGTCATACCGCACTACAATGTATCCAACTGTGTGTTTGCATCCCTGGATATGATGTCTCTACCTGGTAGTCCTGAGACTGCATGTCCCAGAATGCTCTGCTCCGGCTGCCGCTCTCTCTCTCTCCCCTGAACACTTTGACACATTGTCTCCTCCTCCTGGACTCTTTTTTTTTTTTTTTTTTTTTTTTCTTTTTTTGAAGATGGATCCTCCCAGAATGTGCCTTCACCATGGCTTTGGTTTGCATTTGTATTTTGTCTTTATTTAATTTCTGTGAGCTGTGTTTTGTGTTTTAAGAGAATGCCTTGTGCTAAGTGTGAGGTGATCTCAGGGACCGCAGAGGGGGAATGACAAGGTGTGTGTGTGTGTGTGTGTGTGTGTGTTGTACAGTGTTGCCCTGTGTGCACAGATGAGTTCATATTGTAGTCGATGACAAAGACTTTATGTGTAAAGCAGGAGAAGTTGTGTCCTTTTTGTGGGACAAAGCCACTAAGGGAGCAGGTTGCTTGTACCGGGAGGCTTTAAAAGTCTATTTTGCACTGGAGACGTTGAATAAGAAGCATCTGTATGTGAGCAGAACGTGTCCGCGTTGTCACGGTTCAGCGAGACGGAGAGGCAGACTGAGCGTGGACGGATTCCTCGAACCAACGTGGACGTCCGTCCTTGAAGCCTGTGAGCTGGTCGTCCTCTGTGACTGACGTTTGGACACCGGGGGGCGCTGTGGTACTCTGGTGTGGTCGGTGGGCATGTGTACGTGTTGAGGAGAAGAAAGTGATGGAGACACAGCAGAGGCTCTGCTGGGTATTTCACGCTCGGGAGGAGAATCGATTTGCTTCTCTGCATTTGATCTGTTTTTGAAAGAGTCTAGTTTTAAGTTGTAAATGGGAGAACAATAACTGGGAGAACGTTTAAAAACAGGAAAGCTGTTCTGACTGAACATTCCTGGCACGGCTGTTGGAGATGATGTCGCACTCTTTGGGATTTACAAAAACAATATATTTTCCGATTGAACATCACATTCCGGAGGGACTCTTTAACATTTGACAGTGACCTCGTTCTCTGTGTGTTGATTTGTGGAAAAGCATCAGCAGGACAACACAGCAGTAGTTTCCTCATCACGTGGAAACTACCGAGCTCGTGAAAACAGTTGGTTAAAGTCTTCAGTCGCTCTGCGAGAGCGATCCTTCTGATGAACTCGACTAAGGTCAGAGGTCAAAGTGTTTGCTTTGAGTCGGAGCGATGCTGTTCTGATTGGTTGTTTTGATGATGGGAAAAGTAGTATTTCATCACGATCAGCATCACTTGGTTACTTTAGCACCATGTCTCATTTATTAACGACTATTCTAAGTTCATATCCTGATGATGAAGAACTTATGCTTATTATCATATGCGGTTTCTATGGTGACATCCATGTATACTAAGGAGTCTGTTGCGATGATGCACACGTGAGCACGTTATCTGGAGAAACGCCATCATCCTCTTTAATGTTTTATCGTGCTTCTTCTTAATTCGAGAGGCCTGAATTTACTATTTATATTTAAATGCTTGTACACATGCATTTTATCGCATGAAAATTGATAAACGCCTTTTTATTTTGATAAATATTGCACAAATGATTCAATGAAAATTGCTGCTATTAGCATTGTAGATGGACTGGTTTATCGAACACTCTGTGTCTCTTACTGTGTACTAGATTGGGATTCCAGGAGTTTTCTTTTCTTTCTTTTTAACCCCAGACGGAGAAACTAAAGTCAGCGCTTTAGTTCAGTTTTTAAATATGAAGCGGTTAAAAAAAATAACAAATCCTAAAAATGAGGCACTTATTGTGAGCCTTTTGATGATGAGCCGGGAGGAAAAGGGTCGTAATATTCCCGCATCGAGCTCTGGAGAGGAAGTGTGATGTTGGACGAGGAGACAATGCATCACCATAGCTCAGTCATAATCTGTGTGTGTAATATCTCTGGCTGGTTACTATTGGTGGCTGTCTGGTATGTTAGTAGTTGGTGAATAGCGAAGTGGTTTGTAGGTTGGACTGCTGTTTATTTCATAATATTGTGGTTCAGAACAGTCATGTGGTAATGAAGGAAGGGAGTAAAGTTCTTTTGTGTTTGACTGTGTGTGAATGTTGGGTGGACCTGGCTCTGATTCAGTTATGTCGGCGAGTTCTTGCCAAGACGAGAAATGACCACCAGCTGCCACTTTCCTTAACACACTGAGGGGGCAACTCCTCTCTGGAGGAGTTCTGAACACCCCTCTCTGTGGCTGGTGGACTCTCCCGTCCTGGTCTCGGCTCGCGGCGCTGCTCTAGGGGTTCGAGATCACTTCAGGCTTCCCTTGTATGCGTTTGTGCCTCAGAAACCATATGACCGAGTATCTTGCACACACTGTGTTTTCATATCGACAACGCTTCAGTTCATTTGCACAAGAGGGAATCGAAGAGTTAATATCTGGCAACACTTTGTTTCTGTCTGAAGAAAATACAACCTGATCTCACGTTATGATCCAGTGTTCGGTGTTTTAATTGTACTTAAATCGTTGTAATGTTTTCTGCTTTCAATCACTCGCCGCTCAACTACATTTTAAGTCCGACTGGTTCAATTGAGAGCTGTTGTTTTGCGTGACAAGCGACTCAGGTCACAACAGTAATGAGTCTTTTCTTCCAGCACACATCTTCCTCTGTAGCTCTCTGCGGCGTGGTGTGCGCATCACTTTATTAGATTAAGTGTGACGCTGGCATTAGATTTTTAAAAAAAAGTCCAGCTGGCGGGCTGCCTGATGCCCCGGCAGTCATTTCAATAAGGAACTGTAAAAACTAGCGTTGGGGATAACTGTTTTGCTCAGAACGGATTTAATGTTGTAATTCAGTGGCCTCCATGTCTGCCACTGTAGAGATTAGAGCAAAGTCAGAAGTATTATTTATGGGACTGTATCGACCCCAAGAACCACATCCAGTTCCATTTTTATTGATGCGATTTGTGTCCCAGCCTATTTATATTTGTATGTTCAAATCTTCCCCTGAGAATTTATTTTTGTTTTCGTTGTCTTTTCTTGTTTACGTGCTTCTGTTTCGCTCAGAATTCGGTCCCATATCTGCGCTGCATTCACCTGCCGTCGCTCTGAGGGATCAGCGTCCTCTGCCAGCTCTCACACTACACGCATCACTGCTGTGCTGTGAAACTTATTATTTAACAGGATCATTCCAAAATTAGATAAAACTTTTCTTTTTTTTCTGAAGACGAAGTAACCTTCTCTTCATTTGGTCACCGCTGCTGTCCGGTTTTAAAGACATCAAAGGGAGTTCGTAAATACGGTTTTCACTGGTTTAAGCTCCTGTATTACTGCCTTGCTGGAGGGCCCTGACTTCCACACAGGGAATTTTATAAAATCCTCAAAATCTGTGGATTTACTACCCACCACTGCCCTGCTGCAGCGACAGCTCCTGCCTACCTGGGATCATCACCAGATCTGACGAGGTGTTCTGATTTTAAAAACTTTTTACCTGCAGAGAAGTAGTTTGCTTGATATATTGTTTTGTATATGACAGGCACTACAACACGTTTTCCTGCCTTGGTAGTGAGGGTTCACCTTTTTTTTTTTTTTTTTTTTTTTTTAACTACCTGTTTCTCGCCTCTCCATAGTGTTCTGCCAACTTCTTCCCTGAGGCCTTTTTTTTTTTTTTTAGCTGACAGAGTTTTAACCTGTTTCGCTGCTGAACAGTTCAGCACTCTGTGTGTTCTCACACATTAGAATAAACCACACAGACGAGTAACACGCAGTGCAGCCTCGTTTTCCAATCACCGATTTATTTCAGCAGCCGTGGATTCAGATACGACTTCTCGTCTTGGTGCATTTTTAACGGCAGTTGGTATCAACGCAATGCGTTTCATTCAAACTTCCTCGGTACCAGCAGCCGTATTTCACTGAGCAGAGTAATAAGAGGAGCTGAAGGAGAGGACTTGGTGCTTGCTAAGTCGTGTTCCTCCTGCAGAGAAGACCCTCCAGAAACACGTGGGTCAACAGTATTACTATATCATCCTGACTAATCATTATCAGTTGTCTGTCGCTACTGTTGATTCTGTGTGTGTGCGCGTGTGTGTGCGTGTGTGCGTGCGTATTAAGACTTATAAAAAGACAAATCTGAGCACAAGTTTGGGTTTTGATTAATTTAATTGTTTTCTGTAATTCTATGCTGCAATCCAAAGAATAAACATGTATTATAATACATTCATCTTTCTTTTAATCATCTGAACAGTAAAAGAAGATTAAACGAGTTCATTTGTTTATTATTTGCACCAAACGTGCAGAGCTGTGGGAGACTGACGCAGCATGTAGTGTTGAAGGTTAGTGGTAACTTTACTTTATAGATATACATAATACCTTTTCAATGAGGTGAGGAAACAGCATTTCACAAAAACTATTAACTTAAACTATACTGTAACAATCCCGACTCACGGTCCACTTGTTGATCCAGAGCTTTCAACGTCACCGCCCTGTCTTCATCAGCGGAGGAAGTTTGCTTGGTTGTCATGGAGATCATCTCGAAAACCCTCATCTGGTAAAGACTGATACAGCCGGAAGCTCCAGAAAAAGCGAGTCAGTGGCCCTTAATTCGGGATTGGTTTGACAGTTTGAGGTATTTCACACACGTTAAAGCTCTTGATGTTTTCTTTTTCCAAAATGTATCTGTTGCTTCTTTAGCTGTGAATATTAATAGTTTGACAAAGAAAATGAGATGTGAAATGAAGTATTCAGGGCCAGTTTACGGTACTTTGACCGTATACACATTTACAGTACAGTAGCAGCCGGCTGTGTTAACCGCTCTCTCTCTCTCTCTCTCTCTCAAAATCAGACAAAACAAACCAAGACACACTGCATGGACTCGGATCACGTTTTATTCCCTTGTAAATAGAATATCAATAAAAACACATTTTAAAAATAACAAATAAGGTTTATCCAACAGATGAAAGTAACAAAAGGCATATGTAGATCATCTACATAGCGATTACAGAACAGTCTACCGTCCAAAAAAGGCACTAAATCTTGAAATAGAAAAGAACGAGGGGATAAAAATCAAGTCAAAGTGATACAACAAACGTCCTGCTGAGGTTTGATATTTTTCATTCGAGAGAATTAATAGTTTTATTGCCAAAATGAAAACCACTCGGAAGTGTTTCTTTTTTTACATGACTGACATTTTTTGTAAAGTATTTATTTACAGTCATTGGCTGATTTAATGAGGACATTACGACTGGAACAACCACATTTTATGATGAATGCATGAATTTTTTTTTTTTCCTTCACCTAAATAAAACAGCATTTCGAGGACACCACCCTGCAAATGTCATGCGGCATCTCGTGTACTGTAATGTGTATTCCCAAATATTGACGCACGACGGCAACATTCAGTCCTGAGGCGTGAACTGACTGAAACCACGATGGCAGCGCAGTCATCTGTCCTTTTCTATTTGTTCACACAGCAGACCTCTGATCAGATCAAGAACCTCTGCCGCCCCCCACTAACACCTTCATCGACATGCACCCTCATTTTGTCACGCTAAACAGCCCACTGTGCCAATCCAAACAGTGTGGTTAAGACAAATATTTACCGCACTGTCTGTGTAAAGGGACGGGGACGTTGCCGGAGGAAGTTGGACTTGGCAGGAGAAAGATAAATGTGATCAAGATATAGTCGACACCAGGCGTCTGAAACATCGGCACCTTTTCTTTGCTTTTTTTCCTGTGAAGAACCAGCGAATGGAAGCTCATCCTTTTTAAACCAAACTGTACAGCAAGGCAACAGAGGGCTAAAGGCAGGTGATACAACTGCATTTAAAGCAACGAAGAGATACATGTTGCCCTCAGCAATGTCAGAAACAAAGTGCTGAATCTAACTGGAAGAGCAAAGGTCACGTTTATATAGAAAAGAAAAAAAGTATTTACTGTGTTTCTGTTTCATGATCACTTTGACTCATGGTGCATTTCAAGTTAATTATAATGAGAATAAACACTTTAAAACACTTCTGTAAAGAAGTATGGAGCCAGTTCAGGGTCAAAAGCTGAAAGCAAAGTGAAATGTGAAGACCAATCAAAGGGAAACTCGACTGTAAATGAGAAAAGATCGCACGTTTGGGTTTCTCATTATCGACGTCGTTTTTTGGACTCCTATGTTTCTCATTTCTTTTTCCTTTCAGATTGTTTTGGCTCTAAAATGACTTCAAATGACAACTCCTTTTTCATTTCACATTAATGTGCAACTTCAGGTCTCAAAAGTACAACTTCATGAGAAGACCATGAAGGCAGCAACTGAAATGGTTCAAAATCCTGAAATAATCTCAAAACAGCACATTGTCTTACATGAACCCATAGATTCACCTCAGAAAGGCTTCTGCTTGGCAGATAAAAAAATAAAAATTCTAACCCTTAGAAGTATATTTTGGTGTAAATAATTCAAACATGACAGAAAGCTACATCACTGACTTATGACTCGGAGTTTTACAAACGCTTAAAGCAAAAGACACCTGGGACAGCTGTGCTGCCATACAGTTAGAGACAATCCACCACAAAACTTGAATTCTTAAAGACGTTCAATCTGAAACCAACACTGACGAGTTGTGTTAGTATTCCACCAGGATGAGGGGAAAATATATATATATATATTTTTTTTTTTTTTTTTTTTTCTTGGACTTGGTGGAAGCAGGAGCTTTTGATCTTTTTTTTTTTTGAGTGGAATTTCCCTTTATGTTCAAACTTCATAATTATTGGCTCAAGTTCAAGAAGGAATTTCCCTTTTAGAGGACACCGACATTTCTGATCCCAGATCAGCCAGTGAACCGTCTTTACAGCCTCGTCACAGTTTGCCGGCAGTCTCCTCTGAATAACTCGTCCCTACACTTTTCACTATCGACTGTCTAAACTTTGATTCACATTGAAGCAGCTGTGGAGGAACCTGCGGGGTGTAGCTTATAGCTGAGCGGGGTAAAGTGAGGTATTTGTGTTGAGTTTTTTAAACTCTGAACTAGTAGCTTAGCCTGTAAAGCACCTGGTGATGAACAATGATGGAGCGGTTTGAATGAGGCCACTTCAGTGTTGGCCGTTACAGAACACCATGTTCCTTCTTGCATTGGTTTCTAGTACAGTGATGAATGTACAGCCATTGTGGAAGTCCTTCGTGCACTGATCCTGTGTTAATACACAGTAAATAAATAAGGCACTTCAACTTAAAACCATACGGTACATATCATGTGCTGAAATTATTCTGGATGGCTATCCATGGACGCACCAAACTCCAGCATTATTTTCTCTTTAGCTCGTGAGAAAGTGTTCAGTGGCAGGTGGTAATGTGTCAGTAAAGTACACGCTAAGTACACTTACGCAAACAAAAGGAGGTTTCGATGTCTGATGGAACTTCTACGATGTTCAAGAGCATCAGCAGTGATCAGCTACTGAACTTGAACGTTAACTTTTGGTAACGTTAAGACAGTATTTCAATTAGAACGTGATCGATAAAAGGTGCACTTGGCTTTGTTGTTTCGGGGCGCATGCGTCCGTGAGTGAGTGTGCACCTCGGTGTCTGTCCACGACTAATCTCGTGTTCTGCTGTAGAAAAACGACTTCATATTTTGGACGCCCAGTTATGGTTGCATGCCCAAGGACATCAAGAGGTTGCGGTGACTCACACTTTTATCCTGCCATTAACTGCCTGCCGACTCCTCACTCACTTCTCTTAAACGGATCTCCGGCCGGTAGTTGTTGCTATTGATAACATAGCTAAGAACACAGCGACCCCCCCCGGCCACTCTTTACCCACAGTGGGGGGATAACAGTTTGCGGTGTGTTTGACTTACAGCTAATGGAATGGACGGTGTGTTTGGCTAACCCCTAACCACTAACGGATCTACCAGTACACACACTACTGGATCGGCTTACTTCTTTTTTGTACAGTTTTTTGGGCTAACCGCTAACAGAACTACCAGCACGCACACCGCTGGACATCGCCGCAACTCGGCCAACGCTAGGCAGGAAGACAGCTTGGCGAGTTTAATTTTGTTTTGGCAAGATTGCATGAAATGTCTTATGACGACTTTTTTGTGCCACTTTTAGCTCATTGTTTTGGTGGTCTAGCCCGCAAACTCCTGCTGCCCTGTGTTTTCAGTGAAAAAGCTCCAATAAACCCTCTGTACCCTACCTGCCCAGCAACAGTCAGCAGACTAACAAAGTCAGCAACTAACGTTAGCTAGTGAACATAGAGGAGCATTTGGCAGCTAGGGAGACAGATATTTTCCTCGGGGGAGGGGTGGTGGCAGCCAAAACGGAGCTAAAAGAGAGCAGCATGTTTGGAAGACAAATATAGTTGGATGTATAACATAAGCTAAGACTGTTTCCTGATAAGCTAGCGAATGAACACGTGGTAAGATGTTTGCAGACCTTTTTAAAATCTAAAGATCCAACTAGTTATCAGACTGGTTAAATATTCCCTGTGCAAAAGGATAATAATAATTCCTTGTTGGGTTGGAGATTAACAAAAATGCAGAAAAAGACTTCAACAACGGCTGTACTGGGATAAATATTTCTTGAATTGACTAGTTCATTCGTTCTTTTCCAAAGAACACTTCTTGCTGTGGTTGTTTCAAGGGAAACCTAACTCACTCAGTTTCCCAAATCATCGTCTCTTCCTACTGCCTCTCTGGTCTGTCACACTGATCAATCGAATGTTTAAACAGCAGGGACTATAAGCACCATGATATTGATCCAATAAAGTGTCATTTGAAATGAAAATACAATTGAAACTGGACAATGTGTGTTTAGAACACATGGCATATCGAGCACAAACACGGATATGCCTAAAAAATGAAATGCATTTTCCTCGCAATAATTTGACACATCTGATGCGTCTTTGATTAGCATATCTCTAAACACATAGCGCCATCCATGACTATCACACACTCTGAAAATACGCAAAATTAAAAACTTAATACTTTGGCTAATGCGTCACTCACCTTTCACCAACAAGACAGACTCACACTGACGCTTTCTCTCATTTGAAGCCAATATTTCTATATAGAAATGGATCAGGGTGTATATATATATATACTGTATACACCCCACGGTTTATACAACATACTGTATATGCATACATACATGTGTAGTATATGTATGTATTCAAGTTACACTTTTATCTGTAGTATTTAAACAGTCACTGTTGAATTCTTCCCAACTAACTGATCTGTATTGATTATAGATCATCTCACGCTCATCATTCATTATGCCTGACCACAATATTAATAACACCCGGTCACCCGGGTTTCTAGTTCTCATACAAGTCTGTATGCAGTTATGTATTGAATAACTTTTTACTTGTTATTGATATGGAAGCAAAGAGGCCATGAGGATTTAAGTTTCATAAGCAACTGAATGCCTAATTGTGAATACTTGATATTTAAATACTGCTAAATTTATAGTATGTTTGTAATATTTGATCTAGATAACTATCTGTTTATGTGGTTTAAATTTGTAAAGTTGTGCAATTTATAAAAAAAAAAAAAAAATCTGAAGATCAAAATAACTGAATTCAGGTTGCTCAACTTCATTCATTTTCTGAACAAAACAAACTTTGGGACAAGAGGATAAGCAGTGAAGCCTAGACAGGATCTCTGGCCTATCAGGCAATGTTCTGTGAGTCATGTGACGCAAGAAAGGAGTTCAGATGAGCGACTGAAAACACCTGTTTTTTGTTTTTTTTTTACAAAAATGTCAATATTATACATTCAGGTATTCCTTTCTTTGCTTCCATATATTAAGCTTGTTCTACCAGGGCAGGGGGTGGAGAAGTGGGTCATTCTGTTTTCTACATTTTCAAATCATCAGAGGCCCACAGAACACATCACCACTGCGCTGTGACCTTGGAAAAAACCGGAGCTTATTCTGCTCTTCTTCACACTCGAAGGAACCAACAGCAAAAAATTTGAAATAAACTCAACTGCGATGAAATGCGCGACAGAATTTCAAAACAATCAGTTGAAGTGAACTTGACTTTCAAACTGGCGCATTTATCTTTTGAGGCTGTTCAGTTGTGTTGTGATCACAGTGCGCCCCGGGTCAAATACAGTGTTGTCCTGCGCTGAAAGATGCAGCTTCCAAAGAAACCCGCACAATGCATCGTGTCTCTACGGAAGATTTAAAATGCCGAAAACAAATCAACAAAGAAGTAAAGTGAAAAAACACTACTCGTTGCTATGGGTACTTCCTTTTATGGGTCATAATTAAAGAATGCATAATCGAGTTCACTTTCTTGGTTTGATTTGGGCATTTTTAACCTTCCATAGCCTGCTGGGGAGCACTTTAAGAAACAAAAGTTTATTGTTGTTATAATTATTAGAATATACTAGTAATCCCTATAAGAGCGTAGCAGAGCAGGTTGGTGGTTGGAGGTAGGGTTGGGAGGTATCTCAGGGTTGGACTTTACACGACTTTTGGTCTTGTTTCTTTTTTCACTTATTACATTCCTATAAAATCTGCTTGCATATTAACACACCTCTGATCCTGCTCCATTCATCGCTCTGACAACTCCAATGTCCGCCACCCATTTCAGTCGTCCTCCAGCGTTTCCGTCTTGATGTCATTCCCGATACTGCATCCCGCCCCGTCCACCTGATTGGCCAGGGCGTGGCTGCCGTGATTGACAGCCGCCTTCTCCAAGCCGATTGGGTCCTGGGGCTCGGACAGCGCGCTGTGAATGCTGGGTTCGTCCTGGAGGGAGGGCGACGGGGGAGACCAGGACACACCTGTCAATCTGGAACCTTCTGCCTGAGGGCCCGCCCCTGACACAAGGGAGCGGCCAATCAGAGAGGCGCCCCTCTGTCCAGACAAGCCTCCTCTACTCAGGACGGAAAACCAGCTGGGGAGCAGCGTGGGTACCTGAGCGAGAGGAGGATAAATTAAGGGAAGGGTTAGTAGATTTTGTATTTATTCTTTCTAGACCGTCTTGGAAATTTGTACTTTAAATCTGCGGCAAAGCTCTTTGTTCAGCAGTTGCAGTGAGTAGGGGGTGTGTGTGGGTGTGTGGTCGGGCTGTACCTGGGTTGGAGAGGACAGGTCAGCTCGACTGAAACCAAATTGCTTGGCTGAAGCTCTCTTGTCAAATAAGGACACCTCGCAACCCTGTGACAGAGCAGCGCTCGGGTTACACAATAACCAGGTCATTCCACTGACACAAGAATAGTGCCGACCTCCGACCTCTTCACAGCTAGTTATTAATAATCTCCGAGTCAAATACGTGACTAAATGTAAACTCAAACGGGTTTATTTCCCCTTTGTACTCGCTGGGCCCTGCTGTGTGTTTACTGCATACCTCTGAGTTGCTCAGAGCAAACACCCAGTCCCGCCCGGTTTACCTGGTCAGGGAAGTCGTTGCCGTCCACCTCGTCGCTGTTGGACTGGCCGCCTGGACTCTGAACCTCGATGCCGTGGCTCTCCAAGATGGCTGCTTCTTCAAAAACACAAACCTCATCATAGCATATCGACCTCAAGCGACGCGCTAGGTAAGAAAGAAGGAAGTCGCTGATGCCAAGGTGTGTGAAATACGACGATAAAGCAAAAGCTCTTTTATGTGTGTGTGTGTGTATTGATCTATTTAGAGACAGCTCAGCACAGTGGATATATGGTTCTTAAAGGGATAACACGCATTGAGTTTTTAAGTATCTGCTTCATGTTAAGGTCTTTAGTCACACTTGGACACACTGAGTATAACCCCAATAACACACAGACACACACAAAGAGGGGTAGACATTACCAATGTTGGCGCGCCTCTTGATGTCTTTGCGGCGGTTGGCAAACCAGTTGTAGACCTTCAGAGATGTAACCCTCTCCAAATCAGACAGCTTCTTTCCTGCAACACACACACACACACACACACACATAAATAACAGCTACTGCGCTGCTGCTTCTCTGTCTTCTACTCCTTCAGTCTCTCCCTGTGAGAGTTTTTGACGGCTCATTCAAGCGTCTCTAACTTCACTGGTCACAAAGTCTCTTCGCAGCAATGCAAGCTTCTTCCTTTGACAGGTATCTGATGATGCTGTATTTTTTGAATTAAGTTAGCTTAAAATGCAGTTCAAGGATTCAATGCTCATGGCTATTTATCCTATGTACTGCATTTAACCCTTTTGCATCACTGGGGACATTCTCATCATTTCGGCTGTGTTAAAGCGTGTGGCGTACATTTTGGCAACGCAAAAAAATCTTTAAAGTGTCATTTAAAGAGTTACATTCTGTAAATATTTGGTATTCATGATTCGAACTGATTGGACAGACTCGGTGAATGTGGAAAATAATATTAATATATAGTTCTATAGCAGTTTTACGAAGGAGACACTTTCGTCCTGGACATCAGAGCTACTTTTTCAAACTGAGGCAGAGGGGTTACGTCGTGCGTTTGTCATGATGCAACTCATCTGGTTACTTTGTCTTGTTTTTTTTTTTTATTGTTGCAACATGACCAATATGTTAACTAATAAAACCGAATCACTTCTCCAAATGGATGCAACCACATATACTCACCACGTCCACCAAAAGAAAGAGGATGCCAGCCTGCAGTCTTGATAAGTGGACGATGTAAAAGTCTTTCTGTTGTGTCTCAGTATACAAAGTAATGGACGTGACAGATGGAGCGCCACAGTGTTTTTCCTATATGATCATCTGTTTCCCCTCAGTCGTTACACAATAAGAGTCTGACTCACAGCCAACTACACATCTAGAAATAACCATGTAGTTTGCATTTGGACATTGTGACTCCTTGACATGGCAGATCTACATCTCAGCTCTGTTGCTAAAAGCCTAAAACTATTTTGTTAACGAAGCAGTGATATTTACACTATTTACCATTTCCATTGACCTACCTGGTTTCTGAATGACGGCGTTGCAGGCGGTGGCAATCTCCTCTCTCTTCGCTTCATCGGGGTACTGGTTGTCAATGAAGTAGCTGTGTACACACACACACACACACACACACACACACACACACACACACACACACACACACACACACACACACACACACACACACAC